CCAGGACCTAGGAATGACCCCCTCTCTCCATCTGGGGCATTATAAACTGCGGAATTTCAGAACACAGCTTCACTGCATAAAGCAACAAGTTCTAGGGGTGGGGAACCTGCAGCCTTGGAGCCACAAGTGGCCTAATAGGTGGGTGGATGTGCAGGGAAAACATGACTTCACGTACAGCAAACACTTAGCACAATGCCGGGCACACAGTAGGTCCCCACCGTTAGCGTGACCTTTTGACTGAACCCAAATTTTACAGAACAAATCCCTTTAATAAAGCGACTGAGAAATTTGGATTGAGCTGAGGGGCTACATCTAGGGATCTGGAGAGCCACGTGGGCCTTGAAGCTGCAGGTTCCCCATCCTTCTAAACAATGTGATTAAATGGTATTTATTATGTAAGGGGTTTTCCCAAAGAAACACCCAAGCCAAGATCAAAAATGACTTCTTTCCAAACCATGCTTACAAGATTTGCGCCCATAAAACCAAAAAGATCGACAGACGAGGCCCTAAACCTCTGAACAGGCCCCGTTCCAGGCAGTTCCTGCTGTCAATTTTATGATATCTTTACTTCACCTTCTTCTCCCACAGGCCCAAAATGAGGAGGCTGTAAAACCCTAGCCAAACACAACCATTTGCTGAGAGAAAAGCCAACACGGGGCCCATCTGTCCTTTACAAGGGCTCTGCTTGTCCCGCCTTTGTGTGGCTGTCATCATTTGCAGACAGCAGCCCACCTCCCTCAGAGCACCTGGCTGAGGCCTTGGCTGGGTTTTCAGAATCTTCCTAGAGAAACTCTTTTTTTTTTTTTTTTTTTAAGCGTCAAAGGGAGTTCCTGAGGCTTTCCCCAAGCAGAACCACAGGACCTTCCTTCAAGGCCACCATGTCCTATTGACATCATCTGTTGACGGCCCACAGGACAAGAAGCTCTCCAAGGGCAGGGCCTGGCAAAAGGCCATCCACACAGTAGGCCCTTAACAAACCGCAAGGAAGACAACCTCCCCTTTGACAGGAATCCCAAAGAAATGAAGGACAAAAACAACCCTGAAATCAGGATCCAGCCCCGGACCCACTACCCACATTCTTGATCTTAGGATAAGCAAGGGAAAATATCACGACATGCCAAACCATAAAAAGATTTCCATGGAATTCAAGAAGTCCCTTTAGCAGTTCTCGTTTTTGGCAGAACTTAGGAGAGGATACTGGTGGCAAAGGGGTGGGGTGGCGGGGAGGAACAAAACAAGGCTCCTATTCTGCTCCACACAGGTGCTGGTAATAGGACACCCCTGTCTAAAGTGACATGTGGGGTGGAGGAATCAGGTGTGGTTGGGGGTTTTTTCACCCCAGTCACATCACATAACCCCTGAACACACTCTCCTAACCTGGTACAAAGTTCTCCCTGCAGCAGGTCCAATTCAGCGATTCAGCTCCTGACATGCTGATTCTTGAGCAACAAGGGTGAGGAAAAATATTTGATTTTAGCATCCAACCTTTTTTTTTTTCCAAGCCAAGTTAAGTATTAAAAGAAGAAAGTCACCCACAAGGCGAACTTCACACAAGTTTGGCCCCCAAAGTCTCCTAGTCTTAAAAACTCCTCAAACGCCACCAAATACTATGCCAGTTCCGTTGCTTAAAAGCAAGGGCACAAATCTCTTTGAAGCATATATCCCACCCTCCCCAAGACTTGGGATAGAAACTCCAAAAGGATTCCAGGACCCCACCTCAGGCAGTGAGCACTGTCTGCACATCAGAGGGCAGTCCACAGCCACTTTCAGACTACTGTTCCCCCAGACAGGCCAGCTCTTCCCTGCAGCCACACCAGTATCTTGTCTCCCCTTTTCTTTGGGACCAACTCACACCAGACAGCTGGATGGGTGATTTATGTGGATGGAAGGAAAGGCAGCCAGTAAGCGATTTTGCACACCACCATTCACTAGTCACCACCACCACAGCAGGGTGGATATAGAGGAGAAAAACCATGTTTCCTCTAGTCAAAGAATCAATAAGTTATTTAACAGCTGCTGCTTGCTTTTTTACATGGTGCTAGATCCCAATGGAAGAAAAGTCAGGATTTCTTCTACACCCTATCCCCTGAAAAAAATAAAACACACATCCTGACAGGCAGCTCAGGACTTAGATGAAGTATCTTAGAAGAAAACAGAAAGAATCCGCTCCAGCTTTTCTATGTCTTGAGATTTTTCTGGTTTCAGAAGATGGATGGTGCAAGGCCTTGAAATTATTCCCTTTTTTATTTTCTTTTTTTTTTCCTCCAAAGAGGAAACTGACTCCCTTCCTGTGCTGCTTTACAGAATCAAATGCTACTAATAAAACCATTTTCCTTGCCCTTTTTTCACCCCAGTCCAACATTACATCTGAGAAAATAACTTAAAAATTTTATCAAGATGGCATTCCAAATGGGTTTGCAACACTTCTGCTTTTCCCTAAAGCAAATAGAAAGGGGACCAAAAGCATTACAAATCCATCACTGGAGTTTAAAGAAGAGAAAAAGAGGATAAGCAGGTCACTAGAAAGTCAGCTTATTTCAGATATTAAAAACCGACTTTTATAGCTAGTGGCTTACTGCATCTGCACGCTATACACTGCTTATCCTATATTCCCAAATTTTAAAATGTTGTAATTCCCTTTTAAATTGTCATCGCCATCTAATCCATGAAGAAGTCTTCTAAGAAAACTCCATGAAAATATACAGCAGATGTCTTATGTATAAGCAGTCTTGGGAATCAGTCACATCCTAACCTCTTCACTCCCCAAAAGTCTAAAATTTTGCAGAACCCAAGGCACATTTTAGTCTTCCACTCCACCTTGCTTTTAAAATCTCACCGCCAAAACAAAACAAACAAACCAAAAACTTCAAAATAAATTATTTCCCATAGCATACTGAACAAACCTAGTAAACTCAAAGGGAAAGAAATCAAGAACCACAAACTAGGTTCAGAACTTACTGGGCATTAAATAGAAAGGCTTTATTTTGAACTGGAACCTTGCAGAGGGGGAAAACACCACCTTAGCACCCAAGAATCCCCAGCTAGGGCACACTGCCCAGCAGTCACAGGATGGCAGGTGGGAAGGAAGAAAGCTCACCCTTTGGACAGGGTCACCTTCTGAAGGGCTTTGTATTCAAACCAGTGAATGGGAAGAACTGAGACTGGATTTTGGATTAAAGAACAAAGAGAGAGAAACTCCAGGTGTGATCACTCCCGGACTGCAGTGGGCAGATTGGTTAAATCACTGGGCTCCTCATTATTACTGAGGGACTAGAAACTTCTATTTATCTCCTAAAAAAAAAAAAAAAACACAAGCAGCTTTACCAACCTTTCTCAAATTCCTCCTGAGACCAGAAAATACCATTCGTGCCTCAAATCAAATCTTGTTTGAGTATACTCTATGTAAGAACTGTAGAATATAAGTTAACAATTAATACTGGAGTCTGAGAAGGGGCACCAATCTTTGTCTCAAAAGGCCACTTTAATAATTCAATGTAGTTTGGAGGCAAAAGAATGAAAACGGTTGTCTCTGAACAGGGAATAATCCATCTAATTCCAAGTGGCTGGATTAGAAGCATCCCTAGGCCAGCTGGGTCTGGCTGCAGATTATGCTACACAAATGTCAATTTCTGACAAAATGTACAAGCTCTGTAGAAGGATTTCAAAATGGACAAGCCCAGGACAGAGGCACCTCGAAGTTCACCCTGGTGAGGTGGCAGTTGGTTCTAAAAGGGGGGAGCAGGCCATGACAGCTGAACATTCCTTCCCAAAGTCCACCTCCGAGGCACCAAGCCTCTCCAAACCTTACACTTCATCAGACAAAAGCTCCTCCAGGCGCCCAGGCAGCGGCTGAAGAGGGGCTGTCCACACCCACTGGCTGCACGGCTTTCCAAACCTGCCCACTCGTTTTGGAAGCCGAGATTTTAATTAAACACCACCTCCCCGGATCTGGATCTGTTGAGGCAAACTGGGGCTGGACTAGAGCCAAAGAGAAGCTCCCTAAATACACATTAAAAAAAAAAAAAATTCCCCCACCACCCCCAATTCCCACCTCCAGCCAGCTCACGCGGCTGGCTGTATTTCCTTTTGAATGAGTATCACAAAGCTCTGGGTATATCTCTATGCACCAGAAAATCCACATCAGAGGATCAGGTTATCCCCAGTCCCACCCTTTGCAGGAAAAAGCCAGGGTGTTGTTCCCCGCCCCCAACACGCGCACGCGCACACACGCACGCGCGGGACACACATCTTCACGATCCTTCCAAGAGAAAACCTGAAAAGAGAGAGTATGACTGTGTGTCTGTGCATGTGTGCGCTTGGGAAGGCGGGATACGGTTGTTTAAGGGACCCCAATCTTGCCTTCGGTCTGGGAGCCTCAGTTGGGGGAAGGAGGCTCCCATGCAAGGCTGCCCCAGAACTTCTGCTCCGCGCCCCCCGGGGAGGGCTGAGGGAAGCAAGCACACATTCCCCAGGTTTAGAGCAGCCTAATTAATAACTAGTTTGCTCAGATCCCCCTACTCCTGGTAGACCTGAAAACCTAGGAGGGAGGAACCTTCCTCCCAGTCTTCCAGATCGGGGGACTCCTTCTAGCGGCCGGGCAGAGCCCCTACTCCCTCCCTACGACCGCGCCAGGCGCCCTGACCCGGGGGAATCAGGTGTCCGCCCAGGCATCCAGCCCTCACGGGACTAAGACACTCAGTTCAGGGACAGACAATGGAAAACTTGGAGCCGGGGCCCTGAGTCTCTGTGGGAATGAGACGGTGCCGCCCCCTGGGACAATGAACGGGGCCAGGGCAGGGGGCATCACACACCCCCAGAGAAACCACCCGCCCGTCGACCCAGCAGAGCCGGGAGCAGCGTCCCGAGTAAGCAGGTGACACCCGGGCCGGAAGCTTCCGCAGGTGGCCGGCGGCCACGACTCAAGCAAGGGCGGACGGCTCGCCCGGGGTGGAGGCGAAGCACTGCCGCGAGGTCAGTGCGCGGCAGCCCTGGCGTCCTACCTTCATGTCGCTGATGATGGTCTGGAAGAGGCCTCCGAGCGCGCTGCATTCCTTCTCAATCACAGCCTCCATTTTCCCGGCGCGGGCAGGGGGAGGACACACACGCGGGGCCGCTGGACTGCGCGCGGGGCCGGGGCTTGCTCACCCCGGGAGGATTTCACCCTCGGAGCGACCCACCTCCGACTAGCAGGCTCTTCTGCAGCGAGGACGTCGTGCACGAGATCGACTGTTCTCTGCCCAAAATAATAACAGCAATAATTTTAAAAAGCCAAACCGCTCTGCAGGGCGATTCGCCTACATGCAGCGCTCGACTCCTGGCCTTAAAAACGCCGGGAGAAGACTGACAATCAGGCCACCACTGGTGCCCACGACGGAAACGGCAAAGCCCATCTTGAGGCAGAGAAAACCGCCCGCTGACTCGGGGCCAGCGCCATTTAAAAATGTAAGATTTTCAAATTGAGTAAATTTTTTGAAATTAAGAAAAACAAAAAAAAAGAATCGCCAAACAGCAGAGCGAGTCTACTCGCAGCGCCCGGATCTGTTGCTCACAGCCGCGGCCGCCGCCTCCTTTTCACTCCTGCGCGCCCGGCCCCGGCGCTCGCTCTGGCTGGGCTCCCGGGGACGTTCCACGGGCGCGCACGTGCGCTCGTGGCCGTGCGTCCGCCGCGGGGGCGCGGCAAGGGCGCGCGCTCGCGGCCGTGCGTCCGCCGCACGCGGGCGGGGCTGGGAGCGCGAGTCGGGGAGGCGCTGGGGCGCCCGCCGCAGAGCCGAGCGGCTGGCGGGCTACAGCGCCAACAGCTCTGGGCGGGAGCCTTCACCTTCAGGGCACATCGTGCGCCTCCCCCTCCGCCCCAGGCCTCGGGTCACTGCGCGGAGAGGCCGTGTCAGCACCCAGCCAGGCAAGCAGCTACCCTACAATGGCTGAGAGCGCCCGGGACAGAGGCTGCATCGCCGCTCCCCGGGGACTTGAACGGTAGCCCGCTAAGCCCAGTGCTGGCTTTTAGTGAGCGCTCAGTGGGGCGGGAAAGATGCGGCAGCTACTGCAGCCTTCTGAGAAGAGGCCCATCCGGTGATGTCAGGACTGCAACGCAGCCGAGTCACGATTGCAAATAGCCAAATCTATTAAGAAGAGTTCAGGGACGTTCCCTGCATTGGGATGCCAAGTTCAATGAAGTTACGGGATGCTGGAGACTGGATTGATTGCCCGTTGCAGGATGAACGGAAACAACATTAGAGCCCCTCTCTGCTGTTGATTAGCCTATAGAGATTGCTGACTGCCTGCAACTTGGACAGCTCATGTTTTTCAGGCCCACTGAGAGCCCTCTTGGGAGGTTTAACCTGGAAAGAGCACAAATGTGCCCGGGTGGATTTGGGATTTTGATGATTTATTTTCGCGGCTCAACTACCTGTCTACTTAGCTAGGATAACTCATTCAGATTAACATCCAGTGGGCCAGGTAAAGGGGACTCAAATGATAACCTTTTAAAAACCTTAAAGCATAAACATCTAACTCTGGACGTGCCTTTGCCCCCTTTTGAAGCACAAAACATTATGAAAGGATAACAAAAGGAAAATAGTGGGAGGAGGGACGCCAGAAGAAATCAAGAGAAACTGCTGTGGACTGTGGCAGATTCACTAACAGGAAAAGATTGACTTTGAAAACCACATGGATCAAGGGGTGCATGGAGCTGCATATCACAACCGCAGAGGATAATTTTCCCCGGACCACTCTGTCCAACTCTTTTCTGCAGCAAACCCCCCCCCACACACACACACACACTGCCCATCTACCCCAAATCACCAGGAAGGGGTGTTACCTTTAGGAAGTAACTGATTTCTCCATCACTCTCCCCAAGGACATTCAAATGCTTTGGCCTCATTTTCACCTTGCCAGTTACATTGCTTGATGCATGGTTTGCTCTTAACCATCATTGTTATTATTTTTATGCTATTGGCCATATAATGATCAGAGCCAGACTGCCTGGATTCAAACTCTGGTGTACAACCTACTAACTTACAGCCTTTGATAAATTACTTAATCTGTCTAGGCTTCAGTTTTCTCATCTGTAAATGGTAATAACAGCAGCATCTACCTGATGGGACTGTTCTGTGCATTACCTGAGCTAACATATGAAAACACTTAAACTGTTACTTGTCATGTAGTAAAAAAGGTCTCAATAAACATTACCCACAGAAGAACTGAAAACAAAGCCAAGGCTTCTATAATGTGGCATGCAGTCCCACAGACATTGCTGAGGGCCTCCTGTGTGCAATGTGGGCATTTTACATGTATTATGTCTAATTGAAGGAAGCTGTCATACTGGCCCTTGTTTTAATGTTGGAAGGACTCAATTCTGGTTTTCTGGTGTCCCAAATATCTCTTCTATCCAGCCTCAAGAACTCCTGGAATAAGGAGTCCTGCCTTAGCCCAGTGGATACTGGTTCAGCTTTCCTGCCACATGCCTGAATTTAAATGCCCTAACTTTAGCAGTTTTTTCCAAAAGCACACCTGTTGCTTCTTTTGTCTTTAGGACTCTCCTGGCATCATGTCTGACAACCAAGCCCTGTTCTCTCATGAGAAAGAGAAGCATCCCAAAACTCCTTGAAAAGGAGTCTGGAAAAGTGTTCCCCAAGGTAGTACAGACACTTGAAATTTTTATCAAGCCTGGGCTGAAGCTGGTGAATGGAGGGATTTTGAGCAAGAGAAAGACAAAAGATCAGATTTAAACTCCTTATATTCTTTCCCCACATCTGAGCATTTTTCTAACTGTCTTCTTCTTTCAAAACACAAGCACTTACTGCACAGACATCAAGATCCAGTTAAAATGCAACTCCTCCCAGGAGTATTTGCTTCTTGTTTTTAATAGCTCCCAAGAGGAGGAATCTAAGGAAAGAATCTCTATTAGAGGAATTTTCAATACCCCTCCCGCCACCCCACAGTCCTGCCAAAGAAAGAACCAGAGGCAGTGAAGTCCTCCCAAAGCAACTCCCCTTCTCTCCTTCCTGCTAGACAGGCAAGTGGATGGTGGGGTGAGGGTGTGCACTGCCATCTCCTAGCTCTGTGACCTCTGGCAGGTTATTTGATCTCTAGAGCCAGCCTCTCTTTCCTCTGGGGTTCCTAACTTACTGGCTGTTCTGAGGATTGAAATGGATGTCAGATGCTACCCACGTCGAGTCCTCTTCCATCCCACTAGTGATTTTCAACCATGGCTTTCCTAAGGCCCCTGCCTGGTTCTCAAACTTGGCTGTGTATTGGAATCCCCTTGGAGGAATTTTAAAACACACATATCTGGGCTCTATTCCCAACAAGTCTGAGTTAATTTGTCTGGGCTGTGGCCTGGACACCAGGACATTTTAAAGCTTCAAAGCATGGTGCTTCAAATGTGCAGCAATGTTAACAACCCTAAACTTTAAGAACTTTAAAATAAGGCACCTAGGCCCAAGTTTTACCCCTGAACAATTCAAGTAGGCCCTGTAGGGGTTGGGCCCCAGAAGTTTTTAATATACACATATCTTACTTTATTCTATCCACATAAGGACATACAGATACATGTATATGAATTACAAAATCAAGATCATGTCACATACACTTTTCTAGATCTTGATATTAATAATTTCTACAGAAATCTCTCCAGGTCAACTGATAATAATTCATTTTTTTTCTTTTAATTTTTTTTATTTGACACAATTTCAGATATATGGAAAAGTTGCAAGAATAGTGCAAAGATATCTCATTTGCCCTTCTAGATTTCCCAAATGTTATGCCTTTATGGTATTTGCTTCATAGTTGGGTATGTTTTAAAAGCTCCTCAGATGATTCTAATACGCAGCAGAATTGCTCTGCAGGCATCTCTGGGCTGCTGTGAGACAGGCAATGTTCATGAAACTTCTCCCCACATGCAGGGTGTTTGCATTAGTGGCAGTTGTATGAGGTGGCTAAGACAGTGGGCCCAGAGGCAGGCTGCTGGGTATGAATTCTGGCTCTGTTACTTCTCAGCCTTCTGTTCTCAGTTTGTTTGTTTGTTTGTTTTTTATCTGTGAATAAGGTTAACAGAAGTGCTAACTCATGAACCTGGGAGGCTTCAATGGAATGACTTAGACTAGTACTTGGCCCAAGGTAAATACTCACTGAAAGTTACCTATTTATATATTGATCCTTACCATGGCTCATCTGCAAAACAAATTGGTTTAAGCTTGCCCTGATGTCCTGTAAGCAGCAACATTCAGTATGATCCCAGAGCCGCCAAATCCCTTAAACAAATTGCGGAGCTGTCAGTATATAAAAGAGTTTGATTTTAGAAACAGGGCCCCTTTGAAAATGAAATTAGCAAGAATCAATTTAAAATATCTGTCACAATGACTCATCCTAAGAGATGTTTTGTCTGTGTTTTGTGGATGGCAAGCTGGGGAATACCCAAGCATAAACCTCATAAACCTTAGCCTCCAGAATGTGGAGACAGGAAACTGACAAGGTGATGAAAGCCAGGCTCAAGAAATGCAGGGACGGCAGAGGCATAAAGCCTGTGGCATCTGGGTGTCAGGCGGTGTACCTGCGTGAAGCAGGCCAGGTGTGAGTTCACAGGAGTTGGGAAGGGCTATGGTGACCTGGAGAGCAAGTTCTCCCTGTATGAGCCAGCTGCCCCCCAAGTCCTGGGCCAGGGGAAATGTGGGCCTTGAATTGCCACATGTCCCAGTCTTTTTGGAGAAGCTGAAACTTTGCATCTAGAAGTGAAGTTTCCCAATTTTTAAGTGACTTTAGATTCTCTAATTTTCAACAACTCCTCTGTAAGCCAGTTTTTAGTTTCAGGTGGTGGGAGTCAAGTAAGGAGGTGAATTCACAGGGAAGATATGAAAAGAGGAAAGAAGTTTTAAGAATTTGTGTTTCTCTTGGACTGTCAACAGAAGGGCTGTATCTGATGGGCCTAGGTCTCTGAGATAGTGTGCCTACTCTCTAATGGGGTAAGAAGAATTTGATTCAGTTCCTGAGATGCTTCTTGAGCACCTACTCTGTGCCAAGCCACGATCATTCTCCCATGAGCATCCTATATCCTTGGCTTTGTTTATATGCTCCTAAGCTGCCTGCTGGCTACTAATTTGGCTTCAGTAATACTTTGATATGGACAACTGGACTCTCCGGGGAGCAGATACAAATAACAGAACAAGACTGTCCAGGACCCAGTATCTTCCTCATTGACAGTATTTTGGGAGTTTAGCTCTTTCTGCTGTATATGAACACAATAAGAAAAAGATATTTTGTAAGTAAGACATGGATTCTGGTCAGAGTAGCCATACAAGAGCATACAAAATGCATTATTTTAGAAAACCTTAAGTCTACATACCATGTAAAGTAATTGAGAAACATATCAAGTTATTTAGAATCCATCAAAGGCATCTGAGTTTACCTAAAAGTGGAAAATAATTACACAAAACCCAATATTTTAAATATATACCCAAGGAAAAGGGGCCTCCAAGTTGTCACAGAGGCAGAGTCCATAAACTGAAACCCCCTCCTTCAACAGCTATGTAGACACAGTAGATAAAATGTAATCACAATCCTTTAAAATACGTGGCAGAGCCAACAAGATAGAAGAAAAATCCACAGCAGCTGGGAACAGAGGGAATCTGCAAACCAA